GTCGTGCCAGGTGTCTGTCCAGGAGGGCGTGCCGCTTATATGAGAGTATGAACGTTTCCAATCCAGACAACAGCGAGCCTTGAACACGACTGATGAAGATGACTCTGTTCCAGGTCTTCGGACTTTCCATGGACCAAAAGGCGCCCATGCTGTAGAAACTAGCGGACGCAGCATTCATTCGACGTTCAAGCTCAGGGGATGCCAGCTGCAGGGGTGTGATCATCGGACCGAGCTATCGTGCAACATCCGAGACCTGCCCCGCAAGACGACCCCCTTCAATACCATGAGAACGAATCTACTTCTTGCTCGTTTCTGAACCAGGGCCAGCGATATAAAACCGTGTCACCTGCTTGGTCTTGTTCTGAACGTACCCTGTAGTAGCTAGAGAAGCATCGATCAGGTCATCTACTTTGTTGAGAGAGTCGAATACCTCCTCCATCCCCTCCCCGATACATAATTGAATAAGCCTAAGTAAATCATCCGCATACTTCTGCTATGACATATCCACCTTCATTCCACACCACAAACTCTCAAGCAAGCTAGTACTAGGGATCTCCTCACGAACTCTCTGTGCCCACTCCGAGAGTGGGTTGACGAAGGCCCCCGCGAACCCCTGAACGTTGAAGGGGTCCCCCATCACTCCACCACATCCTGTCTTCATCGGCAACCTGCCAATCGAGGTCTCTACCTCCACGACCGAGAGCCGATATCTTCGCCAACAGAGGGCTCGGCCCTCAGGGGCGGAGTGTTCCTGAATAACATTGTCCAGTGCACTCCAGTCGGTACTTCCGAAAGCGTTTCGAGAGGTTTACAAGAGGAGAAAGAGGAGGAGTAGGAGGAGGCGAGAGGGAGGTGGATGGAGGAAAAGAAGAGGAAGAGGCAGAGGAGGATGAGGAGGATACTGGTTAGTATGATGATGCTGATGATGACGATGATGACGATGATGACGCTGCTTATGATGATGAAGATGGTGATGGTGAAGCTGTTGATGATGACGATGATGATGATGCTGATGATGATGATGCTGATGGTGATGATGATGCTGATGTTGATGCTGATAATCTGCTGCTGCTGCTGATGATAATGATGATGATGATGATGATGATGATGCTGATGATGATGATGATGATGATGATGATGATGATGATGATGATGATGATGTTGAGGCGATGGCGATGGTGATAATGATGGGTGTGTTTGCTCGGGAATGGTGCCTGCGGAAATTTGAGCTTTGCCGTTTTCATCCATCGGTCCGCTGACACGATGGTTCAAGTTTCTCTGGCTATGCATATATCCCGTGCTGCCGCACTCGAGCTTTGGTGCGGAGTTCGGCATTGACCTGGCCCTGTGGGGTGCGAGCACTCCCTGTCCATCGTGCTCGCCAGTCCTCAGCTGCCAGGCGGTGCCCGCCTCCACGTGCGTCTGCGCGTGCCCCTCGCATCTGGCCATCACCGCTGCTGCGCTGGTGCTGGGACTCCTCCCGTGCGCCGCGTGCGTGCTGGGCGCCATTGGGGGGCTCCCCACGCGCTGGGGGCTCCCCACGCGCTCGGCCGGGGCGCCGGGGCGGTTTGTCGAGGCGGCCGGCGTCGGCACTGCGTGCGCTCTGCCCATCGAGGAGCAGGCCTTGGCGCAGACCACCTTCCTGCGCTCCAGCCTGGTGGCTCCCTTCTGGTGCGGTACCGCGGGGTCCCGGGCGCTCCGTTGCTCCATGCGAGGCTCGTGCTTGCCGTGCGTTTTGGCTCCGAAGGGTGCCTGAGCGATGACTCTGACTGCGACCGCCATGAGGAGGCGCTCTCCGTGGCCCCGACGTCAGCGAGGTGCACGTCTTGTCCTTCGCGCAGGATGTACCCAGGGGCGTGGCGGGTGGCACGATCTACGGCCCCCGGGCGGCTCCGCTTCAGGCCGTCGTCGACGCGTGCGCGCTGCTGGGTGCCCACGCGCCGGGGGGTCCGTGCGCGCCGCTGCGGTCAGTGCACCACTTCGGCGTGGCGCTCGCGGTCCCCGCGCTGGCCATCGTGCCGCTGGCGGCTGCCCCTGCTGCCGCCCCCACCCCAAGCGGACCTCTCATCGCGCCTGGGGCCGCGGCGGCGGCGCCGATCGGGGGGGGGGGCCGCCGCCGCTCTGGGTATCCCTCCAGGTCTCCGCTGTGCAGGCGGCGGAGCGGGTGTTGGTGGTGTAGTGGGGCCGCCGGCCGCCCTCTGGGCTCAGCTGGTATGCCTTGGAGGACCGAGCTGCTTGCGTGGTCGGCGACCTTGTGTGTCACGCGTTGCCAGCCAGTGGCCGAGCAGTGGTGCAGGCTTCAGGTCAGTCGACCAGTGCTGGGCAGCTGACGGTCGCGGACGCGGTGTTGCTCGCGCGCGGTGACCTCCGCACCCTGTCCGTCAAGATGGACGCGCAGGGTGAGCGTCGCAGGACATGGGATGATGCTGTGGCGCAATCGACCGAGGATGAGATGTGATCCCTGGCGGCCTGGGCCTGCAAGGCCCGAGGACAGTCATGCGGTGCGTGAAGTATGTGCGGGACAACGGGAGGAGCGCTCTCTGCGCCCGCGAAAATTGGGTCGGGCTGTCGAAGGTGTCGGCGGGCGACCGGAGCGCTTGCGAGCACGGGGCGCTCAGTCGCATCCTCGACTCGGCGGCGATGCACAACCAGCGCAACTGCCCGCCCCCGGTCAGCATGGAGCTCCACGCCCGCCCGCTGTCTCTCGCAAAGCAAGCGCATCGCGTCGCGCCGAGCCAGCCCGACTACAGCTCGGCGGACCAGTTTATGCGTTGGAGTCGGCGGGCCGACGGATCGTCCATCGCTCCGACCCTGTCGGCGCACGTGGCCGATCAGCTCAAGAGGAAGTCGGCGATGGCCGAGGAGGCGCGCCAGGTGGGGGATGGGCTGCTCGATGGAGATGCGAGGCGACGGCCAGTCTCCAGCGCGAGCAGGCCCGGCTCCCATGAGTCGCGAGGGCTCGGGCCAGCGCGGCTACAGCGCCTCATCGTGGACCCGCTTCAAGGCGCGGGGCAGAGGCACGGCTACTGCGTCGAGGTCTTCGTGGGCTCTCGGCGTTTCTCCTTCTGATGGGCCTGTTTTTTTTCCACCACCACCACCATCAGTTGGAGGGAGGAGGAGGAGGAGGAGGAGGAGGAGGAGGAGGAGGAGGAGGAGGAGGAGGAGGAGAAGGAGGATGACCCCCTCCGCCTCCAACTTATGGTGGTGGTGGTGGTGGAAAGCAGGCCCATCACCTTCGAGTTGGCGCGCGGGGGCCTCCGCGCCTACGCCTGCGACAGCGCCCGTGCCGGGAAGCAAGACGTCCTCAGGTCTGATGCCCAGCGTGCCCGCGGGGCTTGTGGCCTTTCCGCCTCCCGCCGCCTCGTCTGGCTCGGGGGCCCTGGCACCTGGTCCAAAGCCCGAAGGGGAGGGGGGGGCCTGAATCACCAGAAAGAATGTCAAACATTAAAGAATTGCAGAAACTCGAGGATTTTCGCGTGTCGGGCCTCTCAGACACTCGTTCGATACTGTTTCGACATTGTTTCGACACTTTTCAGGGTGCTCGAAATCATGCCTGGGATGTGGTCCTCAAGTACGATGGGGGCAACATTAGGCTGGTCCCGCCCCCCTTCGGGGTTCAGGGCTAGGGCTGCTCTGGCTTCCGGGCCTTCGTGACCAGGGTTTTGCAAAAATGTCCGTTTAGGCAGCGATGCGTGCCTCAGTGGCCCTCGCTCATGACTGTCGCCATCGAGAATCCGACGACCTCCAGAATCTGGTTAACCCAACTGTTTAACGGGTTGAAGCAGATGGGCGTTGAGTCCATCACAGCCAGTTCTTGCCAGTACGGGGCGCTTTGGCAGAACACGCGTCATTGCTGGCCCTCTGCTGCCAAGGGTTGGCTGCCTTGAATTCAGATGTTTTGCGTGAGCTTCTGCCTTGAATTCAGAAACACAAACCGCTCTAGGGTGAAAACGCTGCTGGAGTTTCAAAACGTTGTTTGCGCAACCATACCCAACTTTTTCCGTAGAGTATGTATGCGATGTCTTCCGCATTCTGAAATCGCACGCGCTTCTCGCGCAGGCCTTCGGCCAATTCCAAACTTAAGGACGGGGGGGTCCTGCGTTGTCTCTTTGTGCCCTCGATCCCAGGCGTCGTCTGCTGGCCGAGCTCACTGGTCTTCAGTGCTCACGGATACGTTTGTTTTCTCTGGCGGTGCAAAATTGGCGGAGCCACGTGGATGTGCTTGCTCGGAGATGTTGTCTACGTCGGTCCGCTGACACGATGGCTCAACTTGTTCCAACTACCCCCAAGCCTACCAGTTTCACCTCCTGCTCAGCAGCGTTGGTGGCGATTCTGACTCGTCTTCTCGTACCCTCGATTTCTGGCGCCGTCAGTTTGCCGAGCTGGCAGGCCTTTCAGTGTTCACGGAATGGTTGTCCCTTCTGGGGTTGGAAAATGAGCTTAGCCACGTGGTGGTGATGATGATGATGATGATGATGATGATGATGATGATGATGATGATGATGATGATGATGATGATGAATGATGGTGATGACAATGGGGATGCTGATGATGGTGGTGATGAGTTGGTGATAGGTGGTGGTGGCGGTGATGATGATGGTGCTTGTGATGATGGTGGTAGTGGTGGCTGATGATGCTGATGATGATGCTGATGATGCTGATGACGATGATGATGCCGATGATGATGCTGCTGCTGCTGCTGCTGATGATGATGATGATGATGATCATGATGATGATGATGATGATGATGATGATGATGATGATGATGATGATGATGATGATGATGATGCTGAGGCTGATGATACTTATGATTATTTTTGATGATGACGGAACGTCCCGGGAAGTTCAGGAGGAGGAGGAGCAGGAGGAGAAGGAGGTGGAGGAGGAGGAGGGAAAAGAAGGAGGGCAGAGGAGGAGGGCAGAGGAGGAGGAGGAGGAGGAGTCCTTTCCGGCATCCGCGCGCTGCCCCCCGGGCTAGCCTACCCCGCGGCCGCGGCGAGGTGGCGTTCTCGGAGCTGCTCGCCGCCGCGCCCGCGGAGCCCGCGCTGGACGCCGTGCCAGGCCCGCAGGACGGCGCGGCGGTGGGGCCGGCCAGTCCTCAGGGGCAACGGCAGGGGGGGATGGGCACACGGGGGGGGTGCACTGACCCGCCGTCGCCCATTGATCGCCGACAGGGGCCCGAAAGCCCTAACCTGCCCAGGAAGGTGCGGACTCACTATCGGGGCCCAGTCGCCGATTTATCGGCGATGTGTCGCCGATTCCAGGTGGAGGCATCCCCCCCTATGCCAGTCCCCCCCGTATCGTTGCCCTTCAAGTTCGGCGCACCTCAGGCATGCTGAAAATATCCACCCTGAAATCCAGGCGCCAGAGGAGTTTTTACGAGCTTCCAGCCTTGTCGTCAACATTATCCTTATATTTCCTTTCTCGCCTTTTCCCTGTGCCTCTCTTTCACAGACACATTATACGCATCTCCTTCCTTAAGCATCACAAGCGAATCCCTCTGGAAAGCGAAGCAACGATATTCTATGTCCTCGCAACAAGGATCCGCTGGGAATCATACCAAAGGATTATGTTGAGAAGCCTCATAATCGGAGCCGTTTGGAAAGCACTGCTGAAGATGTCTATTGAGACGCATCACAGGAAGAAACCGTTGGACAACACAAACTATTCGATTGGACAGCCTCGGGCTTGGAACACTATGCGAAATGATACACAGGAGGTCCATTGTATGGCCTCGCAGCAGGGTTCATCTGGAACGCGCTGTCTAGCAACACGCATTTGCTAGAAACAATCATGATTGGCATCATTTGGAAAGTGCCCCAGAAGGATTCTGTGGGAGGCAACAATTGGAACCCTTTTGGCAAGGAGTCTAAGTGGTTTTACCGGATGGCCTCGCAATATAGGTCCTTTGAACAGCGCAACAAATTCGATCATACCCGAGCGCCTGGCAACATGACTAATTTGGTAAACACCACAGGGACTGTATGGGAAAGCCTCAAGAGAAACCCTTTGGAAACCACCAACAAGGACTCCTACTGGAAAACGCCACCACAGGACTCCATTGGAAAACGCTACGAAGGCCTCCTTATGGAAGGTACCACCAAAGGGATCCGGTGGAAAACACCACAGAGGGATTTTACTGCACTTGAAAGCGCCACTGAGGGGATCCTATTGGGAAACCGCACACAAAAGGAGCTCATCGGAAAGCACCACACTGGGAAAGCCTCGCACCAGAACACCGTTTTGGAAACACAACTGAGGGCTCCTATTGAGAAGCCGCACAAAAAAGGAACCCATCGGAAAGTACCACACAGGAATTCAATCAGGAAACCGCACAACATGAATCCTTTGGATAGCGCCGCAGAGGTATTCGATTGCAAAGCCTCACGACAGGACATCTCCGGAAGACACCGTACAGATATGCGACTGAAGCGCCTCGCAACGAGGATCCTTTGGAACGCGCCACAACGGGATTGCACGGGAAATCCTCAACGTGGAAATCCTCTGCGCCGCAAAGGGGTTCAATAGGAAATTATCACAAGAGGGATCCCGTGGTGAGCACAACAAGGAGATCCCGCATGGAAGCAGCTCACCATAATCTTTTGGACATCGCCATAAAGAGATTTTATAGCAAAGCTCGCAATTGGAATCCATTTGGCAGAACTAAGAAGTGATTCTGTCCGAGAGCCTCACAACAGGAATCCGTTGGAAAGCACCACAACGGCATTCTATTGGAAACCGTCACAGTGGGAATTCTTTTGAAAGCATCACATAGGGATTCCATTGGAAAGTCTTGCGCCAGAAAGTATTTTTGAAAGCGCCAGTGGGGGCTCCGATGTGAATGCCCCACACAAGAGACACCATCGGAAAGCATCACAGGGATTCAAGGGTAAGGCCTCGCAAACAAGAATCTCTTGGATAGCGTCGCAGAGGGATTCGATTGGAACGCTTCACGACAGGACTCCTGTGGAACGCACCACAGTGTGATTATTGGAAAGCCTCGCAACAAAGCTCCTTTGGAAATCGCCACAATTGGAAATCCTCGCAGTGGATATCCTTTGGAACGCGCCGCAAAAACGGGTTCTGCGGGAAAACATCAGAATAGGAATCCTTTGGAACGCACCACAATGAGATCCCAGAGGGAAGCATCACAGAAGGAATCCGTTGGAAAACACCACAAAGCGAATTCATTGGAAAGCCTCGCGCTCGGAATCCATTGGGAAGCACGATCGACGGATGATATAGGAAAGCCTTACAACAGGAATCACTTGGAACGCACCACAACGGCGTTCTATTGGAAACCGTCACAGTGGGATTTTTTTGGAAACACCACACAAGGGTGTTCTATGGGAAATCCTCCACACAGGCAATTCGATTGAAACGCCTCTCAACAGGAATCCATTGAAACACACCCCGATGGGATTATATTGGACATCCGCGCAAAGGGATTTCATTTGAGAGCACCACACAGGATTTTCCTCCTACCCACCCACCCACACGAACAAAAACACAACTAGTCCACTATGTTCTTGATTTGTTTTGGGGGACAGAGAGAGAAACAATAGAAACCGTCACAGTTGGAATCCCGTGGAAACACCGCAAAGGGGATTCTATGGAAACTCCTCACAACAGGGAACTTTTGGAAAGCGCCGCACATGGAATTCTATTGGAACGCCTCTCAACAGGAGTCCACTGGAAAACACCCCAAAGGGATTCTAGGAGAAATCCGCACACAGAGACTTCATTGGAACGCGCCACACAGGATTTTTCTCCCCCTCCCCCCAAACAAAAAACAGGTGGGACGACGCCGGTTTTTTGTTGAGAGGAGAGTAACACAAAACAGCCAGTGCTTCTTCTGGGAGTCGGAGGAGGACGGCGAGGAGTTGTGCGAGGATGAGCAGGAGAAGGACGAGGAGGAAGAGAAGGAGGAAGAGGAGGAAGGACGCGACAACCTTAGGAAAGCCACACGAAAAACACCATCCGAAAGGCGAGGGTCGCCACAATCCCCCGTTCTCTCCTCCTCCCCGTCCTCATCCCCCTCCTCCTCCTCGTCCTCCTCCTCCTCTTCCTCCTCTTCCTCCCCCTCCTCCTCTTCGCATCTTTCGCAGCGGCTTTGAGCTCGCGCGTCTCGCCAAATCGGCCCGAGGATTGGCAGTCCGCTGCGTGAGAATCGTCGGGTTGCCAAACGCTTGCGCCGCCGGCGCATTTCGTGAGGCATTTCGGGGGTCTGGCAATACGGATTCGGACACTATTCCAGAGACCATCCTCTTCATCTTCCTCCTCCCCCACTCCTCCTCCTCCTGCTCCCTCTCCTCCTCCTCCTCCTCCTCCTCCTCCTCCTCCTCCTCCTCCTGAGGAGTCCTCCTCCTCCTCCTCTTCCTCCTCCTCCTCTTCGCTCGACAGTCCGTGTCTCGGGGGGAACTCAGCGCGCTGTTACTGGCCAGTCAGAAGACTGCAGGCTGTGTGGTGTACACGACAGGCAGCGAATATGTAGCCGAGGGTTGGGCTAACCGACGGTATGAGTCACCCTAGGGACCAGGCGCAGATTGTGGCATGAGGTTAGCAAGCAGTTCGGGGCCCATCGCGATTCAACCTCTGTTGTGGTGTTTTTTGTCAAGTCACACCTGGAGGCCCGCGAGGCTTTGTCTGATTCCCGATGTGGATGATCTTGGGCAATTCTGCGGCGGACACCTTCGCAGGGGCCGCGGCTGCTAAATGTCAAATCGACAAAGAGACGAGAGCGCGGGCATAGACTTGGGAGCACAAGGTATATGCTGTCAGGCTCCGTCTTCTCCGTGCCACGATGGACACGCTTGAGGCAGAGAAATGGCTCGGGCCGAGGGAAAGGAAACATCGTGAGACTTGCCCTCCTCCCATTCCTGCCGCCATCGGTGGTCTAGATGTTTTCGAACACCCATCGCCTTGATGAAGCGGTACGCCGTTGCACTCGGTGTTGTAGTTCCGCCACCCTTGCAAAAACAGCCCTCTGGAGGGAGACCCCGTGTGTTCACCCTGTTCACGCGTATGGTGCTTTATTCGAGGTCCCGTCTGCAGTAAAGCTGCACGTTGCGGGGGGGGGTACATCACACGCACTGCATGCGTTTGCACGGCACGCTGAAGCTTTTGTTTTGTAGCCGATGTTGTTGTTTCGCCAGTCAGATGCTTAAGGGTCTTGGCAACGAATGCCACAGGACCGCGAACTCCAGCCGATCGGAGCACCTGTCCCGCATTGCCGATGGCCAGTGACCGAAGGTACTCAGCAGGGCAGAGAAGGCTCGCAGGGGCTCGTGATTTAGGCGCACTTCGCTTCGCGAATGGGGTCGAACTCGAACTCCTCCCCCTCCTCCTCCTCCTCCTCCTCCTCCTCCTCCTCCTCTTCCCTCTTTCGTATTCCTCCTCATGTCCGTCTTTCTTCCTATCCTTATCGTCGACGGGTGGGAGGAGGAAGGAGAAGAAAAAGGAACATAACATCGAGGAGGAGGAGGAGGAGGAGAAAGGGAGGAGGAGAGGAGGAGGAGGGGGAGGAGGAGAGGAGGAAGAGGAGGGGGAGGAGGAGGGCGGCCAGCCCTGGTCCGCCCCCGCGCCCGCGCGCAGCCATCCCAGCCTCTCAGCTTCGCTGAAGCTGCGCGCGGCAATGTCGGTTAAGTCGGGCATGCCCCCCTACAGGAGGAACATTCAAAAGTAGTCAAAGGATAGTCTGAAGGCGATGTTCCGATTATTTGTGGCCTCTTCTTGCTTACTGTTGCCGTATTTTTTTGAGTTTCCGTCCGAAGTCCGCCCGGAGGGAAACATGCCCGACCTAAATTTCGGCCCCTTCGGCAGTGCCCGCGCGGCCGCGGTCGCACTGGCGCGTGGATGGCCCCCGCCGCGCGCCGGGCGGCGCCGCGGGCGCCGCGGGCGCTGCTGGAGGACCTGTGCGGCTCGGCGGGGCTGCCCTCGTCGGAGGTGCGGCCCTTCCTGCGCGCCTGCCGCGGGCCGCCCCGGCCCGCGCTGCGGGCCAACCCGCTGAAGGCCCGGCCGGGGCTGGCGGAGGCGCTCGTGCGGTCTCGGGGGGCGCCGGGGAGGGGGC